TAAGTCCCTCTTCATATAACGAATTTAAATAAAATAAAAGGTAAAGCAAATAATCATAAAGCAAATCTTTTCATCCTGCTTATGGATTTCTCCATTTTCTCCACCTTCTGCCTCTCCTGGTCTACCTTACAGAAAACACTTCAAGACAAAAACCTGTTTTCTATATTGTACTTGTGCCTTGAATGCAATGCCTTCAGATCCAAAACTCGACGATAGTAGATAAATGTTTCTAGTTCCATGAGGTCAATCTGAAACACTAATTCCTTCATCCATATGCTGTTTGAACTATCATTCCTTAAACCATCAGCAATCTTCAAAGTTCTATCGTTCAGTTAAGGCACAATGGATTTTCCAAAGATGATGTAGAAAAGAGCCTGGAACTTACTTGTGTGCAATAGTTGTCAGTCGTTCATCATTTACTGCTCTCCGAACTTCGGCACGATGTCGCTCCGTTGAAATACTATTAAAAAAACCAGCCATATATTTTAGTCAGAGGGAGACATGAACATTTATCTAAAACTTCTACCTAAAATTAAACTTATGAATAACCTATTTGAGAGATGAAAGGGAACAGGCATTTACACTTAAGAGATTTGTCACTTAACAACTTCTATCACAGCAAGAAAGAATCAATGTACTACTGTTCAAAAATATTACTGAAGAATCAAAAGAACATTGCTGTTCACAGGTTACCCCTGCAAAACAGCTAGAATTCAACCTCCCAATGAGAGCAACAAATTTAAAGTGTAAGGTAGAAAAGTTTGTACAGAATATGCAGTGTTCTTTCTTGATCTAACTTGGGCCTAAAGACCTTAAAGTCCTAGCTTGATGAAACACCAAGCTAGTGGACACTCATGAGCCAGCTGTAATCCTTTTAACACTCAGTATCTCAAGAAACACCACCAGAACAGTACAGTTTCACCCACGGAAGCACAGTTGTTTTCCTTATTTAAAGACTTGAAGTTGAACAGAAGTTAAACCTCCACAAGATGGAGAAAGTTCTCTAAGTTTTGCTTTGTGGTACTAGTGACAGCAAGAGCATGCAGTACCTTACAGAAAACAGGTCATTGGTTCTTATTTTAAAAAGGTCATTCAGGTTTACCTAAGCACTTTAGAGAGTTCTCCAAGAAGATCCTTCTTCTCTTTCGTAAGGTCTCCCTGTGCACGTAAGGCACTGATGACACCTGCATATGCCTCCAGTTCTGAAGGATTAGAGCAAATAGTATTTCTATTTAATGCTCACAGCAAAGAACAAAAAAAAAAAAGTTATTTTCAGTATTACTGACAGTATTCTATTAATTTTCAAAATCATTAAGAGGAACATGTCTTTCAATTATTTAGCACTTTGGAGAAGAGATTGATGACTTAGAACTCTCTCAGTCAATTACTCTGCAGCGTACAGCTTTTCTATGAAACAATTGTATCATCACAGAGGATTATCTAGTTTATAAACCCAGCCGAATATTTCAAGCTCTCTGAGCTGACAGTTCAGCCAGAAAACTTGGAAGGAAAAGCCCACAGATTTGGAGTAGTTCAGAATTCTCTAGAAGCAGCAGGAGAAAATTGTTAACACAGATCATTATTAAAAGTTGCATAGAAAAGCTCAGCTTAAAAAACAGAAATACTCTGCCAAAAGAGCAACTGATTTTTTTTTTCATATGCTTTTCCTCAATTAGCACAGAGAACATTAGCTCTGGCTTGTTAAATACACTCGTCATAACCTTTTACATCCATTTCCTTCACATGTACAACCACTCCCATCTGAAAAGAACTCAACTCCCTGAATTAAACCTGCTCCACACAAAAGAAACTACCCAGCTCTTCAGAAGTGTAAAGCCATCACCAAGATTAACTCACAAAAATACACCTCTGATTTAATATAATTTTATAATCCAGGTGACCTACGTAAATGTCGCGTCATCAGTGTTTTAAAAAGTAGTTAAAAACTACTTACAACTTCTGAATTTTGTCCTACTAAGCAGGGTGAAAATACACCTAAGGCTATAAATGGAGTCTGCTAATTTGCCAAAGACTTGCTAGTCTAAGCTTAAATAGTGTTTCTTTAAACTGAGCTAAACTCCTGCTTTAAATGAGAATTCGAAATTCTTTCAGGTTACATTTTGCACCCTCATTGCAGCAGGGAACCCAAACCAACCCCACAACAAACCCCAGCTAAGCACAGGTAAGAGTAAAAGGGGGAGGGCAAAGCCTAACACCTCTGAAGTTTGCTGCAAGTGAAAGGCTGATGCTCCTCTGAAAAGCTTTCCATTTAGGATTCCAAACAGCTAATTTACAAATCAAATCAAGGAATGGTGCTGAAAAGAACTCCTGCTCTCCTGTCCTGATTAAGCAAACAAAACACAAAGCAGAGTCGCTCTGGTTAACTATGCAGCCTGCACTGGGATGCCAGTGACCTGCAGGCGCAATTAGCAAAAATATTTGCTAATTAATGCCACGGTTATTACCAATATCAACATTTACTTAGACAATCACGTTAGAGTATTTAAGATACTAATTATTTTCCTCTGTTAACAACAAAGTAATTCTCAGATTCAACCATATAATTATTTAGCAAGAATAGAATTTTTTTTTTTCCTTTCTGCATTTTTAATAGAGATCCTCCACACTAGGGCTTTAAAAATGCACATTTGGGCCTTTTGGAAGCTAGTAAAGATGCCAGAAGAGCTGTAACTAGCTTCCTCACCATAGGTCCAAGTAGCAATCACTAAATGGAGTTCTCTCATTCCGAAACAGAACACATCAAACCGTCAAAATAAGTTTTACAAAGAAATATCATTATTTCAGGCATCAGGTGCCACCACCATCCCCTTAGTTACAAACCAGGAACGCTGCAGAGGGATGAAATTCAGCCTCACCTACACCACTGCCTTTCACTCATGATGAGCAGCTGAACCATGGGATGAGAGCTGGAAAAGTGGGACTCTAAAGCTGATGAATATTGCTGGATGTGACCATTAGACGCTGCCCAGGCTCCTGCATCTTCCGGTCTTGTGGTGCATCTAGTTAAACCGAGAGAACTCCTCTACCCTAGAAGAGACCCGGCTGCTCCAGCCTCTGATGCTCTGTAACGCTGGCAGGGCCCCCTTGTGGGGACACAGCTCATGCCAGGAAAAAAAAAAAGGTGTTTTTTTTTTTGTTGTTGTTGTTTGGTTGTTTGTTTGTTTGGTTTTTTTTTTCCTCCTGTCAGCCTAGGTTATGTCATTGAAGGAGGTGTAGCTGCAGTTCTGTTTGGCTCAGCTGCACCAGCAAGGTTCTGCCAGCACGTTGCCGTCAGCTGGGGTGGAAGGGTTTGGTTTTTTTTTTTTCCATGCTTCTAGCCAGCAGAGCTACGTTAACAAAATTGAGTAGCACAGATCCGGTTCAAATCTTCTGGCATCCTGCACTTTCTCCTAGTTTTTGTACTTCTTGAGCCTCGCTTAAGACCTAGTGCTGTCACCTCAATGGATATACAGCTCAGTTGCAACGTTGTGTGCAACACCTGCGTCACTGCCTGCTCCCGCAAACCCCAAGCTCCCAAGAAATGAAAGACAAAGGGCAAATAAATCCTCCACTTTCAGAAAATAAAGTGTATGGCTTTTTAACGTGTGAGAACTCTGGCATTGTTAAGAAGGACAGCAAATCATCTTTTAACATTCAAGTAAAATGAGAGCAAGAAAATCTGTAACTTGACGGTCACAGGAAGTTAGAGGGAGTCTCAACATTCTTCCTGACATCATCTCCTAGCTTGTGCTCTGCAGAAGAAAGTCTGAAAACAAATCTAAGGGTTTTTTTTCTTCCCTTCTAGTACTATGTATCATTTAACCCGCAAAAAAAACTTAACTAAATAAAAAGCAATTCAGCTCTAAGAACTCACAAATGAGTTCTGTGCAAGATCAGATCAATGGTCTAACAAAGGATTCTCTCTCCTGTGGTAGCCAAAAGTGGACACGTGAGGAGAAAGAAAATATTTTTATTACCTTCCAAAATACAAAAGAACATCTCCTTGCACATGTGTATTTACAAAGGCAGATAGCAAAAAAAAAAAAAAATCTCCCAACATCTACCTATTGGGCAAGGGTCTCATATATTGAATTACATTTGAAACACTGCAGAAAGCTCTTGTTGTTATGACAGTGAAGCAAGAATGCTGTTTTTACACTTCCCTGATAATCTGTGTAACTGCAAATCACAAATTATCACAAATTTCTTTCCTTCTGTTTCAAGTCTCTAAGACAGTATCGTTACCACTTGAGCTCAGTCCCACAGTGCCAGATAAACCAGGGTTCCACGATTTTTTTGGGGGTGCAAAAAGGTGACTAATACAGAATCGAAAAACAAATGAAGACTCTCCTCTCTCATAGCACATTAATAGTGGTAAAAAGAACAGCAATGCAAGACTGCAGCGTCGAGGCAGAGAGGGACTAGGACAGCCATGAGAGATTCGACCAAACCAAAACAATTCTGCTCTATTCATTTTGCTCAGGCAGAGAGCATCTGCCAAACATCATTTCAAGCCAGGGCTGTCAAACGAATGACACATGCAAAATGCAGGAAATGACTTGTAAGTTGCCTGTAGACATATTAAAGTATTTCATGGAAGTAGCAGGCAGGCAGATCTTAAAAGGGCAAACATACAGACCCACAAATTGTATCTTACTGTACCCAGTTTGCGAAGGATCCTCTTGCATTCATCTCTGCTGAGGTCCAGAAGAGTTGGCCACACCACAGGCATCTTCCCCTTGTATTTGTGCTCCCACAGAGCTCAGCCTCGCTGGAAAAAGAAAACATATGCAGTAAGTGCAAGTCCATCACCTATTGATTCCCCAAGCCGATTAATGCAAACTCTCCTCAGCCTGCTCAGAACTCCATGGACATATCCGTTCCTATCCCCACTCCAGCCTTTGTAAGGGCACACTTTGCCATGCAGGAATTCAGCAGCTTCACAAGGGCACCGACTTCCTCTCTCTCTTGCTGGGATCCATCACCAAAGCCTTTTTACCGAGTTTCCCATCGTTTTCTCAAGCCTTTTTTTTTTCATGCTGAAACGATCTCCGAATTGATATTCGAGTCTCCTCCCTCTCTTTATGCACAGAGCATAAGAACTCTTCCAGCTAACCGCACGCTCCCCCTTCCCCTCGGGGAATACATTTAGTACTAGCCTACTACATGAGCGAATGGCAAAAACACCGTGAAAATTTGCTTTCTATGCACCAACACCAGCCCCCCCTAAACAAACAAACAAACAAACATGGGAACACCCCCTCGCCAGACCGAATCTCGGCGAGATTCCGGGGGTGGCGGGGAAGGAGCATCTCCCCATTGCAAGGAGGGAAATAAAGGAAAAAGAGGAGCGGGAGGCCTGGGCCGGCCCGCGGCCGCGCTGCG